GGATTGACTTCTTATCCTCTAAAAGATAATTCCTTCTTGGATTTATGTTAACTAATATATGGCATGAACTAACACATGTGGATATGGGTTGTAACACTTACCCTCAGCCACCACCATATGAGTTTACACCGGGGCAAGAAAAAACCCCTAAAGCCCCAGATCAAGATGAGATGGCCAGGAAAATGAGGACCTTGAACAGAGATAAAAGAAAATGCAAGGTTTGAGCGGGCCAAAGAGTGTCTCTTATACAGATTTGTGTATGTTTCCGCATGTACACTTGTCGTTAGGGTTCAAAACACCAAAATTTGAAAAGTATGACGGGCACGGCGACCCCATTGCTCATTTGAAGAAATATTGTAATCAGTTACGGGGGGCTGGTGGCAAAGAAGAATTGTTGATGGCATATTTCGGGGAAAGCTTAATCGGCATAGCTTCATAGTGGTATATGGATCAGGACATATCTCGATGGCACATTTGGGACGATCTTGCCAGAGATTATGTTCGACAATTTCAGTACAACATAGACATTGCACCGAATACGAATTCTTTGACAAATCTAAGGAAAAAGCCCTCAGAAAGCTTCAGAGAATATGCCATTAAGTGGCGCAAACAAGCATCAAGAGAGTGAAGCCTCAAATAGATGAGGTAGAGATGGTCACTGTCTTCCTACAAGCCCAAGTGCCCGATTACTTCCAGAACATGATGTCGGCCATGGGAAAGCCTTTCGCAGAAGCAATTAAAATCGGGGAAATGGTTGAAAATGGTCTGAAAACGGGTAGAATCTTGAGCCAGTCGGCCATAAGAGCGATCTCCCAAGCCATCCAAGGCGGGTCTGAAGGAATCGCCAAAGGGAAAAAGAAAGAAGAAACAGTCATGGCAGCATCAGGAGGAAGGATATATCGGGATCATAGACCGGTGTTATCCGAAAGAACCCCTCAACACTACTATCCTCACAATGATATGGCCTACGCTCCCTCCCCTTATGCGGTCATGAATGCTCAACCTTTCGGCCGACTGCAACCACAAGCCAACCGAAATACACCTCCATTCCAATGAAACCAACCTCCTTACTAGAACCAATATAATCCCCGACCACCACAAAATAACTTTCGCCGCCGGGAACCACCTAGGAGGCCCAACTTTACACCAATCGGTGAACCCTACTCCACCTTGTTCTCTAAGCTTGTCCAGATGGATTTGTTGCAGCCTATTCCCCAAAACAGGCAGAATCCGGAATCTCCAGCTTACCAACGAGGTGTCCACTGTGCTTATCATTCAGTAGTTGAGGGGCATAGTACTGATAACTGCTGGACCTTGAAGAAAGCTGTGGAAGATTTGATTGAACAAGGAAAAATAGTGTTGAGGGATGAAAAAGCTCCGAATGTGACCAATAATCCATTGCCCGCTCGTAACAACAGGCCGGTAATCGGGATGATCTGTGAGGACAAAGAGTTCGATCCCACCTTGAAAGCTATAATTGCTATTGCTGATGCAGAAAGAAAACCTAAAGCAACCCCGAAGCAGGAGAAAGGGGGAAAGAAGACTAAAACTATCAAGATTGAACTTGAAAAGAATGTTGAAACAAAGGCAGAGATGGCGCCTCCGAAAAAAGAGGTTCTCTATATTCTGCGAGGTCGCCAAGAAAAGCCGTTAGTCGTGGGTATTCCAAAGAAATTTAAAGTGCAAAAAGGGAACACTAGCGTATGTGCCAAAAGGAGCCTATGTGGTCCGGGGGACGATTAAATTGCCTCGGCTGAACGAGCCAGTGGTTATCGGACGCGTGCCATATAAGCCAATAACGGACCCGTCTGTGGTGCCATGGAATTATCAACAGACGTTGGTTACATACAAAGGTAAAGAAATCACGGGAGAACCTCCGGGAAATACCTTCGCTAGGAAATATTCAGATGTACAAGAGGTGAACAATGCCACACAGAAGTGCTTTCCACCCAAGAAGCCTGTAAGTGCTGAGGAGGCAGAGGCTTTCTTCCAGAAAATGAAGATGCCTAATTATGAAGTGGTGGATCAGTTACGCAAGTACCCTGAACAAGTGTCTATGCTATCTTTGTTAAAGAGATCTGCCGAGCATCATAAGACCCTAGTGAAAACTCTAAATGAGGCGTATGTGCATGCTGAGACTTCAGTTGAACAACTCGAAAGAATGGCAGAAAGGTTCTTTGTTGTTAGTTAAATTTCCTTTAGTAAGAACGATTTGCCTCCAGAGGGAGCGGCTCACAACAAAGCTTTACATCTCACTATCAAGTGTGAAGTTTTTTATGTCAAGCGAGTAATGGTGGATGGGGGTTCGGGTGTTGACATTTGTCCACTCTCTACACTGCAGAGAATGGAAATCGGGACTGGAAAGATTCGTCCCAATAACATCTGTGTAAGAGCTTTTGATGGCATTAAGAGGGATACCGTCGGAGAGATAGATCTGGTGTTAACCATAGGCCCGGTGGATTTCGAGGTGACCTTCCAAGTGTTGGACATGGATACATCTTACAAATTTCTCCTAGGAAGGCCTTGGATCCATGCCGCGGGGGCTGTACCTTCCACCCTTCACCAAATGGTAAAGTTCGAGTATGAAGATCAGGAAATTGTAGTCCACGGAGAAGACTAGCAGTCTATTTATCGGGACCCATTTCTCCCATGTTTGGAGGCTAGGGAGGGAAGTGAACACATTATTTATCAAGCTTTCAAAGTTGTAGTGGTGGACCAGTACGAAGAGTGGAGCCCTTGCCCCCAACCTTTCCTATCTAATGCTTCAATCATGGTGGCAAAAGAGATGATCAAACATGGTTTCAAGCCGGGAAAAGGATTGGGAAAAGCTCTACAAGTACTACCGGAGCCAATAACCCTACCCACAACAGAAAAGTTTTTCGGGATAGGTTTCCACCCTACCCCAGAAGAGGAAGATTGGGCGGATGAGAGGAAAAGGGAAGGATGGGTCTTGCCATAGCCATTGCCACATCTATATCAGACCTTTGTCAAGCCAAAATACAGCGATAATGAAGATGATGAGGACTTCATGGTCGAAAAAATGAAAGATATATGTGGAGCTATGAGGCAAATGCTTTATGAAACCAACATGGTTCAGCTAGGGGAAGGTACTAGCACCGCTGAGGTGCTCTACATGGGACCAAATGCTAAACTCCAAAATTGGAAAGCTACACCATTCCCGATCAGGCGGGAGTCCGGGTAGACTTGTCCTGCCACTTTTTCTACATCACGAGTTACCCCAGGGTGTGACTCGGATGTTTGTTCCTTAAGTTTCCTGTCTTTGAATTCCTGAATGTAAACCCTGTTATCTTCCTAATCCCAAGAAATGAAATCAATATTTCATCATTTATTCTCTTTATTCTTTCTGATTTTTGCTATTTTTCTCTTTTATTTCTTCTTTTCAGTTATAATAATGCGGCTTTAAATAACATGACATGCTTGCGGACTTCACGCCCAGTTCCAAACATATTTTTTAATTGTGAAATCATGAACCAAGAACCGGAATATGATGAAGAAGAGGCTTTTAGGGAAAATCGAGAACTGGAACAATTTGAGAATAAACCTAAGCCGAACTTGAATGATACAGAACCAGTTAATTTGGGAACTTCTGAAGAAATTTGGGAAACAAAAATAAGCATTCACACTGATGAGAAAACGCGGGATGCAATAATTCAACTTTTGTTTGAGTTTAAAGACGTGATTGCTTGGTCATACGATGATATGCCAGGATTGAGTGTCGATCTAGTGGTGCATAAATTGCCAATTTACCCTGATTGTCCTCCAGTTCAGCAGAAACAAAGGAAGTTTAAGACTGATATCAGTGATAAGATTAAAGAAGAAGTCACAAAACAGTTGAAAGCAGGGGTAATTCGGGTGGTCCAGTACATACGTGGCTGGCTAATGTAGTTCCCATGCCAAAGAAAGATGGGAAAACCCGGGTGTGTGTGGATTACCGAGATTTGAATAAGGCAAGTCCTAAAGACAATTTCCCTTTGCCCAACATCCACATCTTTACTGATAACTACACCAAACACGAGATACAGTCCTTTGTGGATTGTTACGAAGGATATCACCAGGTGTTGATGAATGAAGAAGATGTCGAGAAAACAGCTTTCATTACACCCTGGGGCGCTTATTGTTATCGGGTCATGCCATTTGGGTTGAAGAATGTCGGGGCAACTTATATGAGAGCTATGACCACCATTTTCCATGATATGATGCATCAAGAGATAGAGGTGTATGTGGACGACATGATTATCAAGTCCAGAACTCAGGATGATCATGTTCAAGACATGAGGAAATTTTTCGAAAGGTTGCGCAAGTATGATTTGAAGCTGAATCCGGCTAAATGTGCCTTCGGAGTCCCATCAGGAAAACTTCTGGGCTTTATAGTCAACATGAGAGGTATCGAGTTAGATCCAACAAAGATAAAGGCTATCCGAGATCTACCTCCTTCGAGAACTAAGAAAGACGTGATGAGTTTATTGGGCAGGTTAAATTATATCAGTCGGTTCATTGCTCAACTGACTATCACATGTGAGCCCATATTCAAGCTATTGAAGAAAGATGCAGCAATCAAATGGACATCTGAATGTCAAGAGGCTTTCAACAAAATCAAGGAATATCTGTCGAACCCTCCAATTTTGGTCCCACCAGAGTCTGGGCGACCTCTTTTCTTGTACCTGATAGTGTTGGAGAATTCTTTTGGTTGTGTCCTCGAGTAACATGATATAACCGGCAAAAAATAGCAAGCAATTTACTATCTGAGTAAGAAGTTCACTAGCTACGAGGCCAAATATACTTTGTTGGAGAGAACGTGTTGTGCCTTGACGTGGGTTGCTCAAAAGTTGAGACATTATCTTCAAACTCATACTACTTATCTCATAACCAGGTTGGATCCTTTGTAGTACATATTCCAATAACTGATGCCCACTGGAAGACTAGCAAAATGGCAAATCTTGCTCACTGAATTTGACATAGTCTACGTTACTCGCACGACAATGAAAGCCCAGGCGTTGGCATATCATTTGGCTGAAAACCCGGTTGACGAAGAATACCAAACGTTGAGCACATACTTTCTAGATGAAGAGGTAAACACAATAGAAGTAGTCCCTGAGGACGCTCATGCTTGGAAAATGTTCTTCGATGGGGCAGTGAACGGCAAAGGTGTAGGGATTGGGGCAATTTTGATCTCACCTACTGCTCAGCATTATCCGGCTACAGCTAGGCTCCGGTTCTTCTTCACGAACAATACTGCTGAATATGAAGCCTACATCATGGGCATGAATATGGCGATTGACCAAGATGTTGAAGATTTATTGATCATAGGGGATGCAAATTTGATTATCCGGCAAGCCTAGGGAGAGTGGGAAACTCGAGATGTCAAACTTATTTCTTATCGGCAGCATGTGGAAGGTCTCGGCAAATGATTCAAATCGATACAATTCAGGTACATCCCTCGGTGCCACAATGAGCTAGCTGATGCACTTGCTACTTTAGCCTCGATGTTGCCTTATCCAGGAAATGCCTACATCGATCCCTTGGAAATCCAAATCAGGGAAAGGCATGGTTACTGTAATGCGATTGAAGCAAGGCCAAACGTCCAGCCATGGTACCATGATATTAAGAGGTTTTTGAAAACACAAGAGTACCCCGAACATGCTACTGGATATCAAAAGAGGGCCATTAGGCGGCATGCGAGTGGTTTCTTTATGAGTGGTGAGGTCTTGTATAAAAAAACCCCGGATCTCAATTTATTGAGATGTGTTGACGCTGAGGAAGCTAGAAGAATCATGCAGGAAGTGCACGCAGGAGTGTGTAGACCTCATATGAACGGGTATGTCCTGGCAAAGAAAATACTTCGAGCTGGGTATTATTGGATAACTATGGAAAAAGATTGCTTCAACTTTGTCTGGAAATGTCATCAGTTTCAGGTGCACGGAGATCTGATTCATGCACCTCCAATAGAATTACATCCCATGTCAGCACCTTGGCCTTTTGTCGCCTGGGGTATCGATGTCATTGGTCCGATCGAGCTGAAAGCTTCAAATGGGCACAAATTCATATTGGTTGCTATTGATTACTTCACAAAGTGGGTAGAAGCCATCACTCTCAAAACATTCACTAAGAAAGTTGTAGTGGATTTTGTACACTCGAACCTTATTTGTCATTTCGGCATTCCTGTAACTATTATCACAGACAATGTGGCGAACCTGAATAGTCGTTTGATGGAGGAAGTATGCGAACAGTTCAAAATAATGCATAGAAACTCCACTCCTTATCGGCCCAAGGCCAATGGCGCTGTTGAAGTAGCGAATAAGAACATCAAGAAGATTTTGAGAAAGACAATCCAGAGTTCCAGACAGTGGCATGAACAGTTACCTTTTGCCTTACTGGGATATCGCACTACAGTGTGCACATCGGTAGGAGCAACCCCGTATTTGCTGGTTTATGGAACCGAGGCTGTGATACCGGCAGAGATGGAAATTCCTTCGCTCCGGACAATTGTTGAAGCAGAGATCGAAGATAGTAAAAACTTGATTGGAACAGTTGACTTTGATTTATGAGAAACGGATGGCCGCAGTTTGTCACGGGCAGTTGTACCAACAAAGAATGGCTTGAGCCTATAACAAGAAAGTACGGCCAAGGAAATTTGCAGTAGGGCAGTTGGTATTGAGGCGAATTCTTCCTCATCATCAGGAAGCAAAAGGAAAGTTTGCTCCTAACTAGAAGGGTCCATATATCATTAGAAAAATACTGCCCAGAGGAGCATTATACTTGGGTGACATTGAAGGAAACGATCGCGAAGCAGCTGTGAACACGGATGCAGTAAAAAGGTACTATGTCTAAGCTTGCTTCAGGTGGCGTCTTTGCGCAATTGAGATGACGATGGCTTTTGTTCCCGCTACCCAAAATAAACATTTGCAAACCCATTTGAGCCAGTTATTTTTCTTTGATTACCCTCTTTGGAACCCGAAAGTAAAAAAAAAAGAAATATAATATATATNCCTTGGGGTTCAATCATACCAGAACAAAAATCCAAATTTCCTCGAAATGGAAACTGGGGCAGATGTTATAATGTTCAACCATGACCCCGTCCAAATGGTTCCAAAGTTGTAATTTTGTCCACAATTATTTTTCCCAAAACCCGGTACAAGTCCTTCATATCAATGGCTAAAGGCGTGGGAATGGAGAAACATCATTGAAAACCGATGCATTCTAAATTGAGAGAAATAAAATGAGAGAGTCTTATCGGTGAAAACCTTCGGGCACCATGAGGCGACGAGAGTAGAGATATCAAAAATGAGAGAGTCTGCTTAGTGAAAACTCATAAAGAGCACTATCGGGCGACGGTGAGAAGAGAAATGAGAGAGGTCGACTAGAGAAAACCTGCAAAGGGCGCTGTCGGCCGAAAAGGGGATATTTCATCACTAAAAGTCATGGCAAGGTTCCCTGGTTTGGAGAACATGGATCAGTTGGTTCATGAGAAACTAGAAGTTGGTGCGGGTTGGGCATCCAGTCCAAGAAGCATGTCATGTCAGTTTGAAGCCAATATGCTCCCCAGATAAGTCCTTCTTTTCCCTTGAAAGGGACGCTTCTATTTAAAATTCATTATTCTGTTCTCTGTTTACCTTTCCTTGAATCCCTTTCGGCGTAACTCTGAATTCTGAAACTGTTACAAAGAAAAGGTGGCAGGACCGGCTTCACAGGGCTCCGCCCGGCAAGAGTCAAAGAAAATACCCAACCTCAGTGGTGCGTCAGTCCAATCCCGACTGACCATGGTGGTTGATTTGCTTCCAAAATAATAGACATTAGAAAAAGGCAAAGGTATGAAAAGCAGAATGAGGTGGAAAAAACTAGAACCCACACGAGCAAGTCATCATGAAATCCAAAGGTTGAACCCAGTCAATGTGAAAGAGATTCACACTCAAGATCAACAAGCAGCAAGGTTCTCAATGGAAATAGGGCTGGGATCAAGCAATAGGAATGAGCAAAAGCCACAAAACCAACTTTGCAACCATGCCAGAAACAGGTGCAACCCAAAAAGAAATGAAATGTGCAAGTGCCGAAACAACTTTGCAGCAGGAAAACGACCAAAAAGGAAGTTTCCTAAACATTCTCTCAGCATTCTGTTAAAAAGAAGGAAAACATATAAATAGGAGAACCAAAGAAAAAAAGAAGAAAATAGATGAAAATGAAAATCCCAAAAGAAAAAAAAATCATGGTAGCATACGATCCCACTCCTTAAATATCCCAGCCAAAAACCGTGGAGCTTTTTCTATCCAAATCCCGGTCAAAAACCGGGGATCTCCCGGCCAAAAACCGTGGAGCTTTTCTATCCAAATCCCGGTCAAAAACCGAGGATATCCCGGCCAAAAATCGTGGAGATTTTTCTATCCAAATTCCAGCCAAAAATCGAGGATCTCCCGTCCAAAAAATCGCGGTGCTTTTCCTATCCAAATCCTGGTAAAAAACCGAGGATCTCCCGGCCAAAAACCGCGAAGCTTTTTTCTATCCAAATCCCGGTAAAAAAACCGAGTATCTCCCGGCCAAAACACCGCAGAGCTTTTTCTATCCAAATCCTGGCCAAAAACCGAGGATTCCATTCGCCAAGATATATAATCTTAATTTGACTGTTTAGACATGTGTCACAACTAACTCACGAAATTTTCCTAGTGAAAACTGGGGCAAAAAATTTCGTTCGTTTTGTTTCGATATCTTAAGCAGGTTTGACCCCGAAGTACAGGGCTCGAGATGGCCTATAGAATGAGCCGTGATCCAGAGTAAAGGAAAGAAGAAAAAGAACAAAAGAAATGAATTCAAATGTGAACCAAATAAAGGTGTGGACTACTCAAAATCTGATTGAAGTCACACTATCAATCCTGTTTTGACTCAACGCTGCAGAAAGAAACAAACACCTTCAACTTGCGAGCATCAAGATTCAGGTCGAAGTCCACAGCAAATCAGCTAAGACTCAAGATCAAGTTTCTAGAGAATTATATAGATAGTAATCTTGTAACTCATAGTTGATGGGCATAGCTAACTTAGCTTTGAGTTTCCTTTTGGTGTAATAAGGAGGTCAGCAAGCAGTAGCAGCAGCAACAGCAGTGAGATCACAGCTCCTGGTAGTCCCAGCTACCAACACTCCAGAACTACACTGACCTGATTCCTTGATAGCTAAGGATATGTAGGCAACCTTGGAAGCAAGGTTCGGTCAGACGGTTTTCAAAATGCTTCTCATGGAGTGCTAAGCAGGCAAAAATCCCATAGTTGCTCAGTTCTCTTTGCCCGAAAACATTTCGTGTTTCCGAGCAAAGAGGGGCAGTTGTGAGCACGTGATTTTTGCCACGTTTAAACGACTCCTATAAATTCCTTATAATAAGAATTTTTCTTTATTATTTGAATTTTTAGGAATTAATTGTTGGATTTTTATGTCTTGTTTGGAATTTTGTGTGCATTCCGGGTGACACAATTCATAAAAATACAAAATAATGTGCTTTTTAATGTTACTAAAATAAAGAAAATACCAAAAATGATTCCTGGAATTTCTACTTTTTGTTAAAATTTGTCTCAAGTTTTTCCTTATAATTAGGAGTTAGTTAACTTTGGAATATTAATTAGTATAATTTTAGATTTGATTTAGTTGTTTTAGTTTTTGATTTTACATAATAAAATTAGAAAATTCAAAATAATAATAATAATAAGTAAAATATGTAAATAAATAAAGCACAAAAATAAGAAAAGAAGAAAATCATTAAAAAGAGTAAAAGAAAAGGAAAGGGATGCCTAAATAACCCGAATTGGGCCAAAAACTGATTTAGCCCAAGCCAAAACCCCTAAAAATCGGACCAAATCCAAGCCCAAACATTACCCAACCAGGCCTGCCCACCCAATGAACTGAAACGACGCCATTTCATGACCTCAATCCTGGCCGTCGAGGTAACTCAATCTAACGGGCAGGAACTCACCTCTCATTAATATAAAACGGTCCGAACGGACACCCCCCTCAGACCTTCGTCTTCATTAGAGACTCCCTCCCATGAACACTAATCTGAGCCGTCTTAAAATCCCTAAGCCGCCGGTGGCGGCGCCGGCACAAACCGCCACCAAATTAATACCCCAGTACCCCCTCGTCTTTTTATTCCCATATCCGACATCAGTTTTTCTCGAATCATTGCCCACCAACTCGAATCTTAGTTTGAAGATTTCGGCCAAAATGCTACTTTGTCCAAACGGCCCCAAATTTACACCACACAATCCCAAGGCCTTCCTTACCTCTAATCCCTAACCAAATCCCCTCAAATCTGAGTAGGAAGGCTCGAATTTTGAATCTAGGGTTTATGCTGTTCTGGGGCCGTTTTTGAGAAGTTTTCAAGTCGATTGAATTCTAGGTAATACTATAGGTCTATTTTTGACAAAATAGATGTATAATATTAACCGGAAGTCAATCTCGGTTGGTTTTCTTATGAAGTCCAAATTTCAGTAAGTTTTCTTCTCATTTCTTTTCAGTTTGTTTTAGTTTGATTCCTGCTTTAGCTGTCTAATTAGGTGTAGTTTTAGTTTCCTAATCATTTTAATTGGTAGTTTAATTTCAATAGAATTCTGTCTATTATTGTTAGCTATTTCTGAGTCAAAATACTATTCTTCTTAGTTTAAATATTCAATTGTTAGTTAATTGTTAAGTATTAGCTTAGTTTCGATTAGTTCAACTTGATTAGTTTGGTCAAACGTCCTCTTTGAATCTAATTCCTTTTAGATTTTCTGTTTAATCCTGTTTCCAACTTGCTTTGAAACTGTTTGATTCTCGTTTATTTGAATTAATGATTCTGTTAGTTTAAGCTTAGTTTAATTGATCTTCAGTCTTCATTTGCAATTCAATTAGGTTTAAGTTTTGGATATAGCTGAGTAGTGTAGTTAAATTAATTTTAGTTAGATTTTAACTAAGGGTAAGAGGTTGGTGTGGTTAACTGAAGTTAGTAATTTCAGGTGGCAAATAAGGGTAGTATAGGTATTCTATAGGTAGAAGAACACCCAAGGGCCTTCTAGAAGGGGGCCTTAGTGTAAGTTTCTGCACTCTTAACGCAGTAACTTGGGTAACAAGTCAAAACTTTAGGATTAATATGCTAATTTCTGAAATAAAAAGGGGGAAATGGAGTAAAACACTCCAGAACATTCTGTCCCATTTCTTGCCTATAAAAGGCAACCCTAATGCCTTCATAGAAAGGGGGACAGATCTGAAATTTTCCTCAAAATTGCTCAACAAGTTTCAAATCAAATTTGAATTTCAAATTCCAAAAACCTTCAAAAACCAAAAAAAAATAGAAATAACAAAAAGAAAAATCCAAAAAAAGGTACTGTCTCATTGAGATTTCAAAGAAATCTGAGTCCCTAGGTTTCTGCATTCGAGTGTATAGCCATTTTGGTCTTCTTCAAGCTATTTTGGGTGTCTCTAACTGCTGAAGCTTTTCCATAGTTTACCAGTTCATTTCTAGGTGTATTTGATTCCAATTTGAGTCAGTTTTGGGTATAGTTGAGCTCCTGGGTAGATTTCAACTTGAAACTGGTT